CCCTTCATGCAGCTGCGGTGCCAAATGACAGACAGGGAGGAAGTGATGTCAGTCAGGTAGGTAACTCCAGTGGAGAGAGGCAAAGGAGGAAATGTGTCTTTGAACAGAACAGTAAAACTCAACAGACTCAGTGTGCAAAGGCCTTAATCCTGGGTGCTTATTGTATAGATCTTGCGAATGATTGCCACCTCGGAACGACACCTGTGTTTGTTTGTTTTTTTAAATCCTCACATTAAATTAAAAATGGTGCCATTTGCTCTGGGCTGTCTGCCCTCAACAATGCAAACCCATCTCCATCATGATTTTATTTTATTTTATTTTTGGTTAAAACAGTCAGGAGCAAATGAAAACAAAATGACATGCTTATTCTGCATAAACTAAAAGATCTCTGAATAAACTATATATGCATAAAACTATTCAGTTAAATGAATGATGTCTTATTTTCTTTAATATTTATGTCACATACAGGTACGCAATGATGAGTGTTGGATCACATGTGTGTTGATATTGTCTAATATCATGTCTCTATTTGATCATGTGACAAGACGAGACGATCGAGGAGCTAGTTTGGGCACAAAATCTGTTGAGACTGACGAGCTGAGTGCATCTACAAGTCCAGCGAGCAGTCAGGCCTTTAAACATAAAAGCTGCAGTAAGAACAGACGAGAGAGAAACCAACAAGAGGAAAAAGTTTCCTAAATTAGATTCCTTTGGGTTTTTATATAAACAGTTGGCGGTGGTGTGTGTTTGTCCTTTATAACTAGTAACCAGCGTGCACTGGGGTCCTTAGAAACTACCTGATGAATCATGTTTATGTTAAAACTAACTGGTAACTTTAAGTTTAAAATAATGTAGTGGAGTAAAAAGTACAGTATTTACCTCTGAGGGTCCTGACACACCGAGCCGATGGTCGGCCGTCGACCAAAGTCGGCCTAGTTTTTGCAGTGTGTCCCGCACCCTCAGCACTTTGGCGATGGTGTCAATTGAGCATGTTGAATCGGTGGCGGAGCTTGTCGGTGAGAGAGATCACTCTGATTGGCTGTTCAGGTTTTATTTCCTCGCCCCTGTAGCGAGTGAATCTGCCTGTAGTGAAACCGGGGCTAACCGGTGCTTCCTCCTCAGGCTCCACTTCACTCAGCTGCCCCACAGACCCGCTGCTTCTTCACACTTTAACCTGAATAACAAACCGGAGCTAGCTGGGAGCGGCTAGCGGAGCGTTGGCCGCAGCATGACCGGAGGGAAGCACAGCCAGTTAGCCTCCGCTAGTCTCTGAGCTAGCCCCGGCTCTCCGTTTGGATCCAACCGGAGCACCGAGCCCTGGTTTGTTATTCAGGTTAAAGTGGGAATAAGCAGCTGGTTTATCAGGCAGCTGAGTGAAGTGGAGCCTGAGGAGGAAACACCGGGACCGTCTGGATGTAATAGTCCGTGGAGGTGCTGTGGTGCTCGGCTGCACAGATAGGAAACCCCTCGGCTGACAGGATGTACCACTCTTTCACTCCGCTCTCTCTCACGCAGGCGCAGAACGTACGTGCTACTTGGCTGTCGGATGTAGTCCGTGTAGTGTGTTCAAATGCAACTGACACAGGGCGACGTGAGGCGACGTAGACGACGCAACAGTTGGCTTTTGTCGCCGCTAGTTCTTTGATGTTGGTTTGGTGTGTCCACACCTTGAGATGTCAGCTCCTGGTGTAGAAGTAGAGGGCAGCACAAAATGGAAATACTCAAGTAAAGTACAAGTAGTAAAACAAGTCGTACAAGTTCTTAGTTACATTGGACCACAGGTACAGACTGAAATGTCTCAACGTCAGCAGGGACAACAGAGAAGAAGAAGTGACCGTTTGACTCAGAGAGAAACAGAAACATAAAATGAACTTGTGAACACAGACACAGTTCCAGTGAGTCTGTAAGTCATCTGTTGGCTGTAATCTTCAAACAGACCTGCCCGAGTGAAGAGAAAAAGATAATTATGTTCTGTAATTAGGTTCAAACAGAGTCAAACCAATTACTGAGCCGATGAAATGTATTAATTTGAGCTCTGCGTTCAGACCGTAAGAAGTCATTAAGCGTCTGACAGCAGCTCAGAATCTCAGCTCTTAAGATTATGACAGAGAGCCTGGTTTTAATAAACCTCGCAGGAATACATGACATTCGGGAAAACAGCCTTTCATTCTCTTTCCTGCTGTTTTGATTAGATGTAATAGGAGTGCAATATGAACAGGAGAAGCAGTTGTTTTTGTTACTGTGATGGAGCGCTTCAGCTGGAAAATCCTTTATTTAAGAAATGATTCAAGTTCAGACCCTGCTCTCAGAGCGTTGTCACTCTTTGCTCCAAATTCTTTCATCATCTCTCAGAACCTAAGATTTCTATTTCTAACAAAATCCTATATTTACACAGTTTAGATCCAGTTTACGCTTCTCATTTCAAGTGTCTTGTATCAGACTCCAGTCCAGAAGGAGGTGGTCATTCACCTGGAGGTGTTTAGTAGTTTCCAAAAATGTCAGAAGAAGAAAAATTAGCCCAGATCACGGGCTTATTTATGCTCAGTGTTAGAGATGGAGACGGACAGAGCCTTCTGTCTCACTGAAACATTGCTGCATTTCCAGCTGAGACAGTTGCAGGAAAAGTTGTTGTTTCTCACAGAGACATTGAAACATTACTCCATTTCCAGCGGGGATAGTGGCATGAAAACAAGTGTTTTCTTTTGTTTTACCAAAACAGCTGTTTCCTGCCATGTTAGTGGCACAAAAAGGGGTTGTTTTTCAGAGAGCCTTCACTGCATTTCCTTTGGGACAGTGGCAGAAAAAGTGGTTGCTTTTACAGAGATATTGCTGCGTTTCCAGCGGAGATAGTGGCACAAAAAACAGTGTTTTTCTTTTTACCAAAACAGCTGTGTTTCCTGCTGAGACAGTGGCATAAAATGCAGTTGTTTTTACAGAAATTTCGCCGTGTTCCAGCTGGAATATTGCAAAGACAAGTGGTTGTTTTTTTTCAGTGAAGCATTACTGCATTTCCAGCAGAAATATTGGCACAAAAAGTAGTAGTAATGGCCTCTTCGTTTGCGAGGACAAGGAGTGCGCTCAATTCCTTGTCTCCCCAGTTGCTCATCTTTACAGTGTCTGTCAGGTTTGTGTTTCCCTCTTGCTACTAGCTGCTCGCTAATTCCTGCTTTCAGCTGTTTCCTGTTTATCCACCTCCAGTGGCTCGCACGTGTGGCGTCATCATCAGCTCCTCCCACAAGTCATCAACAGCTCCTCCCATTGCGGAAGGCCGCCTCGTTCTGTTTAATCCAAAAGGATTCCACCAATATGTCTACCCTACGAGGCGGAAAATTGGACACCCCGGATCAACTCGCCAATCCGGCTTTTTGTGTCTAAACGCTCATAGCTTGCCGGCAAAACGGCCTGAAAATCTGGCAGTGTAAAAGGGGCTACACTCTCTGTAATGATAATCACATTTTTCTTTTTTTATTTTTGCCTAAACCAAACCACACGTTAACCTCAGCTATGTAACACATCCGTGATGGACGTGTTTCAGCCTTTGCTGTAGATCAATCTATTGACCAAAAAATTAATTTAGAAAGAAAAAGTTTGATTAATTGATAATGAAAATAGGTTTGGCTTTCTAAAATAACTATTCAGTTTTTTGTCATTCACGTCTCTCACAGATCATCAGCAGTTCCACTGATCAGAGATCAGATAATAGATATCACAGCTCTGTGCGTCTTCTGATCGTATGTGTTGAGACTGTCAGTCTGTTGTCTCCAGCTGCTTTAATGAGACACGTTACACCTTTTAACATTTGTTAACTGTCTGATCCACTAAAGACGTCTTAAGTGACTAATGATAGTAAGTACTGACAGGATCTTGTTCTCATTTATAGGCATCTGTGGCAGCAAACTAAGATTTCTTTTCTAAAGGCAGACACAACATCAGATACATCACGTGGCAGCCTGAGAGCTGAGAGACACAACACATGGCATACAAACAAGGTTACACAATTATATTGCTGAGAAAAGCACAGACCTGAGACTGAGATTAACAAAAAGAAAATTAAAAGAAGAAATGATTAGGTTGGAGAACAGCATGCAGAGGAGAGATGCAACAAACTCAGATTTACAACATTTCCATATATCTGCAGACATTTAATTTGAAAGTCAGCACAGTTTCCTGCTGTCAGTTGTGTTTTTGAGCATAAACATTCACACACGACCCGTCAGACTGTGGAGCGTATCCAGTCGGATATTTTCCTGTTCCTAATTCAACAGATTTGCTTGTTCTCGCAGCATATTTCCAAATCTTCCCTCAGCGGCACATTATTTATACATTCACAGATTATAAATTTAAAATCTCATTTTGTGTAAGTGTGAACTTGCGAATTTGACTTGATGTGGCACTAAACAGTTTGCGGCTCTCTTCAGTAATCCCCGTCAGGCAGCGGCGTTTGAAGAAGTGGCTCAGGCTGGACTTGAGATTCACAAGCTGACAGTCGCTTCCATTTACCACAAATTCTTCTTTTGATGTGAGATTCATATTACACTGCTGATGAGTCAACAGCATCACACACTAACTTTGGCTCACTTTTCCGCTGCGTCTGATGCTGTGTCTTTGGTCTTTTCCGTCGTGTTTACACTGGGGAGGCTTTGTTCCTTTTCATACAGGAGCGTGATGTTGAGGGTTTTTTAGTAAACTGTGTTGTTTTCTTTTTTTACTTTTAACTGAATAAAACCAGTGAACGGCCTGTCAGCAGCACAAAGTGGGGCTTCTTTTCTTTTTTACCGCCTGATTTCTGCTGTGAAATAATCTTTTAAAAAGCTTTCTGAAAGTGATGATGTTTCTCTTTGTGGCATTTATCCTTTTGTCTTGGTTTATTTCCTTTCTTTCCCTCTTTTCCTCCCTCTGACTGCTTTTCCTCATCCCTCTCTCTGCATCAGTCTCCTCTTTTATATTTGCTTCTCATGGCTGACTCCGCTCTCTTATTCCTTCCCTCCGTCTCTCTCAAGGTAATGATTTGTTCCTGGTGGCGGTCCACGAGTTGGGTCACGCGTTGGGTTTGGAGCACTCCAATGATCCCAGTGCCATCATGGCTCCTTTCTACCAGTACATGGACACGCACAACTTCAAACTGCCTCTGGACGACCTGCAGGGCATCCAGAAAATCTACGGTGAGCACTTAGTTTATTTACTGATGATGTAAATGATGCATTAATCATTAAAGAGGACACTGTGTTGTTTTTTTGTGGATCTGCTGATCAAAAGTTTTTCAGTCCATCAAAGTGACTCTGATTTTGGTCAGAGAAGGGCACTGCTATGCTTCCATCCACTTGTTTTCATGCACACTCTCATTTTGCACCTTTTAATGAGTGGAAATGGCAGAAATTCAAAGATAAAAAATGCAGCTCAGCTCTCCAAATGTTTCCTGGTTGGACTCCAGCTGGGGGCAGATAAACACAGCACAGGGTGCAGGTGGATCAGAAGTGATATTACTATTATCCTCCTGAATATATTCACATAAAGCATGCACATTTTATGTTGCCATATTTCAAAGAGTTACTGAAAACTAAAATCATTTAAGTGGAACTTCACTCACAGACATCACTGATTGTATTTTGACATAATTTGGGGGAATGACGCTCCTGACTGCTCTTCGTTACTCCCCGAACGATTTACAACTCAGTGGCAACAACATCAACTAATGACTGTTGTCTTACAAATAAATCTTTGATGAACCGTCACTATCAGTGTTAACCTCTGAGACAAAGACATTGTGATTCCTGTGGCTGCTTCACAACCCTTTTTATACAGAGATCATGCGATACTGCTGCAGCACAGACTCTGCATTACACCAGCTTTGCTTTTTACACAGAACCCAACAATGTCAACATAATGCAGCCTCAGGGTTTGAGTTCAGCAGCCCAGTCACTAGAGGGAATAGTTGGCATGCGTTTCTGCAAAAGCATGAATACGTTCCATTTCCATGTTTATTGTGTATCGTATCAACATTTCTTAAGTGACGTAGCATATGAGGTAACTTTGTCACTGGGAGGTGGAGGGGTGGTAGATGGCAAGTCACCTGGGCAAGACGTCTGCTAAGCTACTGACCACCTCTCGAGACCAACAACCAACAAAATTTGTCTGATATTGAGTCGTTTTTCCAGCAGCTCCACAGGCACCAAATGTGTTGTTTTTTGGAAACCCGTTGCTGTTTTTGCAGCAGCTTTTTAGGCTCCAAACGTGATGTTTTGTAGCGACCTGTCACTGTTTTTGCAGCAACTTCTCAGGCTCCAAATGTGTTGTTTTGTGGAAACCTGTTGCTGGTTTTCCAGAGGCTTTTTGGGCCCCAAACATGGTGTTTTGCAGCGATCTGTCACTGTTTTTGCAGCAGCTTTTAAGGCCCCAAACATGGTGTTTTGTAGCAACTTGTCACTTTTTGCAGCAGCTTTTAAGGCTCCAAACGTGATGTTTTGTTGCAACCTGTCACTGTTTTTCCAGCAGCTTTTTGGGCCCCAAACATGGTGTTTTGCACTGATCTGTCACTGTTGTTGCAGCAGCTTTTTAGGCTGCAAACGTCTTGTTTGGTAGAGATCCACAGCCGTTTTTCCATCAGCTGTTTACGCTCCAAACATGATGCTTTGTGGAAACCCGTCATTGTTTTTCTGGAGACTTTTTAAGCCCCAAACATGAAGTTTTGTATCAACCTGTGACTGTTTTTCTAACAGCTTTTTAGACTATAAACATTCACTTGGAATAGTGCCACAAAGAGAGTTTATTTTTTAACGGAGAATCGCTACTGATCCTGTCGGGATTCTGCCCCCAAAAACAGGGTATTTTAAGCCACAATGATCTTAGCCAAGCGTTTTTTGTGCCTGAACCAAATGTTTACCACAACATTGTTGAAATGTGATGTTCCGTTGTTTGCAGAAACAGTGCCAACATTTTTTCTGGTGATTGGGTTGATTTTAGACAGCATTACAAGCATTCAAGAAGCAAAAGACATCTAACACAGCAGTGTCAGCAGCAACATATGTGTCTGACAGTGTTTTCTTAACAACAATATGGAAATAACAATCATTATCTGTCCCTTAAATATGGCGGCTGATCTCTCCCTCTGCTCGGAGAGTAGGGAGCTGCCGGATCTCATTGTCTCCCCAGTTTGCAGACATTGCTGCTAGCTGCTTTTTAAATCTTGCACACGTCACACATCCTCAAAACATCACACTCATCCCGTCCTGCCGGCTCACACACTTTATACAGTTTTGATTTGGCTCTGTCACTACCTTTGCTGATGTCTTACAAGCGGAACAACTCTGTCCCCGACTCTGTGATTGTACCTTTTATACTGAACAGTGAGGTGGAATAACAGTGCAACACACTTTTGATGTGAAGCGGCAGTTGTTGGGAAAAAAAGTTGAAAATGCTGAAAATGTTAGTATGATGAAAACTATATAGAGAGGAAACTACAAAAAATAAAAACACTGAAAGTCTATTGCAGAAGAAATGCAGACCATAAATAGCATCAACAATGGGGTCTGATTCCATGAAAATCTGAGGGATTAAACACTTTAAATCCAAGACTTGAAGTGAAGAAACACTCGACTTCACTTGAGCCCTGAAAGCAAAAACTTGCCAAAGCGAAAACAGCACACCTTGGATATTAATTATTCATCTTAAAGCCCAGAGTGTGGCTGAGTTATGGAGAGCTGTTGTCCAGCAGCCAACAGCAGAGCGCTGCACCGGGTGAAATATAGATGAATGTAAAGCAGGATGAGGCTGATAAACAACACGCAGCGCTCATCAGTGTTTGCCTGGAAAGAGAAAAAATTTAAAGTACAAAATGTGTGACTTTGTCTTTTCCCTTTGTGTTTACACCAGAGACACTTTGTTCCCTCTCAGAGAAGATGCCTCACATTTCAGCAAACTGTTTTTTTCCTTTAAGTGAACAAAGAACAGTGAAGGCCTGTCAGACGCAGCAGACACATTTCCTGACACGCTTCTATCTGCCCTGAAATAATCATGACAGCTTTCTGTTGTAATGTACTTTAACATGTATTTGGGAAACAAAGAAGCAGGATAAAGAAACTTAAAGTCACACATCTGCTGGGATCAGAAATAATGTATGAATGGAGAATATTTCCATCCAGATCACATTTAATGTTCCATTACTACTGTTTCACAAACGCCCAGTTAACCTACAGTATCTATAACATGCACTCAGATTGTTTTGCTCTTCAGTTACGTTGGTCTGGTTTCCTTAAAGCTTGAAAGCAGGAAGGTTATCTTTTTCCTTCAGGACAAAAAACAATCCTCACATTAAAGGTCATGATATTTGGAGTCAGTGTTGAAGGGAAACAGTGAGGTCTACAGTGTTTTTCCACTGCACTTGTGTTGAGCCGGTTATTGTATCTGCTGAGAGTTGATCCTATTCGCCTCGCCGCTCCGTCTCTCCAGCACCTGAAAATACCCACCATCTGCTCTCAGTGAGGGCTTTTACTTTAAAATGAGACCAGCTCAGACACCAAGAGAAAACACTGGCATTGTACGTTTCTGCAAACCATGAATTCTTCATATTAGTGGATTTCATTTGTATCATAAACGTTTCTAAACTGATGAAGTAGAGGAGCTGGTTCATTGGGAGGTGGAGGAGATGGTTCATTGGGAGGTGGAGGCGATGGTGGACGGTGGAGGTGTCTGCTAAGCTGCAGTCCACTGTTTGAGACCAACAAACAACAAAATGTGTTTTAGCAACTCACCAGTGTGTTTCCAGCTGCTTTTGAGCCACCAAATGTGGGTGTTTTGTAGCAACCAGTCACTGTTTCTCCAGCAGGGTTAGTGCTATGATAAGCAGTTGTTTTTAACTGAGACTGTTTTTGCTGGGATTGTTCCTGCAAAACCAGGTATTTTAAAACAGAACATGGTATTTCCTAACTATAATCAAGTGGTTTGTGCACCTTAACTGAACTACACAACAACCACAGGGTTGGTAAATCGTAACATATCTGTGGTTTGCAGAAATGTACAATACCAATGTTTTTTCTGGCATTTGAGTTGATGAGACTATTTTTGTGCAAGTGCACTAAATTTAGAGATGTACCGATACCACTTTTTCCTTCCAGATACCGATTCCGATCCCTGAACCTTAGGTATCTGCTGATACCGAGTACCGATCCGATACAGCGCGTAAAATAAAAATGGATGGGATATGAAGTAGAATGAATGCCATAAAACTTTTTTTATTATTATTATCCAGTGTTGACACAGATCAAGACACACGTTAAAGTGCAGCCACACAATTTGGTAAAAAAGACATTTTAAAGGCTACAGTAGAATGCTTTTTAAACGCCGCTCCGTTTCCGTTTCATTTGCCTGTAGCGTGCGTATGTGTAATGACGTGAGGCATTACGTGGTATCGGATTGGTCATAGGCTGTACTCGCTGATACCCGATACCGCATTTTAGGCAGTATCGGAGGCATTTCCAATACTGGTATCGGTACAACTCAAACTAAATTATGGAATTGACCCTTCGCTAAGTAGCAGCAGTAATAATGTGGCATCAGGCCGGCTCAGACCAGGGTCCGACAACACCACAGCTGTGCTCCATTGAGTCTAATGCAGTCGTTTCAGATTTGCTTCATGTTCTGGCTGGTTTTGTGGATTTGGAGCTAAATGTTGTGCCTGGGGCACGTCGTGTATTAATGATACTCGTTACCTGGAGAGGTTGGAAAATGATATATTTTTTTTCTTTTTTTTAATTTTAATTTTATTCTTTTAAAAGTGTAGGGTTATCTAGCTAGCTACTGAAGATATATCCTACTGAATGTATACACATGCTGCTTTTGCTTTTTGATGATTATAATAGTGACCAGACGTCCCAAAAAATTTGGGACAGTCCCAAAATCCACGTAGTTGTCCAGAATCCCGAATCCTGCCCTAATTGTCCCGAAAATGACACTAGAGCAGAGTCTGGAGGAGTTATTGCCTGATAAAACATTAAAAACTGATCATGGTGGTTGAGTCATCCTGCAGCTCCCGCCAGCTGCACATTGGCTGCAGCAGTTCCTACATGAATTATGGGTGTTATAGTTTTTAAATTGTGTACAGCAGTGGCGGTGAAGTAGATGACGAGAGCGCAGGCAGCCACGAGAAGGAGTGATTTGCACGTTGCAGTGCAGCCTGTTGTTCTAACTGTTCAAAACTGTTCTACAAACATGTTCTACAAACTGATAGGCCTGTAACGAATGTACCAGGCGTCTTTTATTCTGTTAGCTTTTATTTTTAATTGAGCTTAAAGGACAAGTGCATTTACATTGATCACTTCAATTAAATAAAACGAGTAATTCGAAAAGAGGAAAAGATTTTAAAAAATATTAATTAAATTAGGGAGCTGATCACAGATGTTTCTGTGTGTTTTTACACACAGAGACAATAATTTGCAGCTCTGTCATGACAGTCAAGCATTTCTCCAAAAATATGGTAATATTTCTTCAGGGAGTGCAGTTAGTTACAGTGATGGAACTTATAGAAACAATGACACAGTGACTCTTCCAGTAGCTTCCAGATACTGCATTATCTTAAAACCCACAGTCAGTATTTGAGCAAACAGAAATCAATCACCACACCAGAATAATTCATGTTGTTATGTGTGTTTTCTCACCAGGCATCCCCACTGCCATGCTGGAGCCCACTCGGCCGTTACCCACCTTACCTTCTCGACGGACACACTCCACCTCTGAACGCAAGCATGACCGTCACTCCCGTCCGGCGCGCCCACCCGGCGACCGGCCCGCACTGCCTGGAAACGGCAAACCCAACATCTGTGACGGCAACTTCAACACCGTGGCCTTCTTCAGACGGGAGATGTTTGTCTTCAAGGTGAGCAGCAGAAACATGGTGAATACACATGAGGTCAAAAAGACTCAGGAACAGATTTTTGGTGCGCTGCTGCTGCATGGTGGCCTTGCCTGGTTCGGTCTGCTGTTGGAAAGGATGGAGATTCGTGTTGACATGTTTCTGTGGAATGCATGCTGGAGGCTAAATAAATTGATTTATAGAGAGACTCCTTTTGATGAGTTGGTTCTGTTGACCCAGGAGAACTTGTTGGTATTTTACATCTAAGTTTCTGGTCCATTGTTTTGTTTGGTGGCGTAGTTTTCAGACTGCTTCTGATGGGACGCATTCTGCTCCAAACACTTATCGCATGTTGTCTGAGTGAGTGTCTTGTATTTTGTATTCATAATCACAAATACTGAATTCCCTAAACTTTCAGACTTGCAGAAGAATTCATGGCGCATGTTTCTGCTAAAGGTTGTGATGCAGACCCTCACGCTTCTTTTGGAGAACAGGACAGTGTTGTGTATGTAATTAAGCGGGTGTTAGCTGCAGCAGAGGGTGAGTCATACAGCCCTGAGTTGCTCTATAAAACAGGGTGACACTGGGGGATTCAGATAAAGCTTAACTAAACATTAAGTGGGGAGGATTCAGGGCCTAAGTGGCTGTGAGCACGGTAAGGTCGCTCTGCAGCTCAGGAGGTAACGGTTGCTCCGACACTGGCGGCGTTACGGGTTCAACTCCCATTGGAGCTAACCGTGCTCAAAATGTGTGGTCTCGTAGTGTCGCACGGCTCTGCAGATGAGAGAATAAACCCAGCAGCATACAGTACCATCTAGTCTGTGATCATTAGCAGCAGGTATGTGCTCCCAGTATAGGTTTATTATGGACTCTGTCGAACAGAGAGACAAGTTTGAAATAGCATACATGTGTGTGTGTGTGTGTGCGTGCATGCGTGCGTGCGTGCGTGAGATAGAGAGAGGAAGTTACACACTGAGGAGCAGTGTAGAAGAGGAAGAAAAATCCATTTTGATGTCTCTGATTTTTAAACTGGATGTTAGAAAAGGTTACAAACCCGTCTAGCTCTCCGTCTGTTCGCCGTCCTGCCTGTCGATGTGCGTCTCTCTTCTCTATCTGCTCACCTGTCCATACCCGTCTCTTTCCTCTCTGGTGAATTCCTGACAAACTATTTCATTTCTCTATTCCCCTCTCTGTCTGTCTGTCTGTCTGTCCTCTGACCTTTCTTACCCTGGTTCCCTCTGTTTCACTTGTCTAGTGTGTCTGTATTTCTTTTCTAATCAACAAAAGTCTGGTGACAAATATTGTCTAAGTCAGGGCTGTTTAACTGCTTTTAGTAGACCTTCTTGAAGAGGTGGTCTCAGTCCGGTTCCAAAGGAACTCTGGTGCGGTTGGTTTGTGGTGAGAAGGTGTTCCGACCTGGATGTGAAGCAACTGCAGTCACATGACACATTGTTTGGGTTAAACATGAGCATGTTACAGTCCTGGAGGATTATTAATGTGCACCTCCTCCTGTACTGCCTTAATATGCACATTCAGCACATCCAATGCATCAAAACATTGTTTTCTAGTTGGAGCCGCGCCTCGTTTTCAAACTGTATGTTTTGACTAAAATGAACAATGACAGCAATATAGTCCACGATGAGCAGCGCTAAAATCAACCTGCGTAGTTGTCCCTCCATTGTGACATTAGAAAGTGTCACATTTATCTTGCAAGTGTACTCTTCTTCAACGTTTGCTTTACTTCCTGGATTTTTCCCACATGGAAATTCTGACCAATCAAGAGCAGCTTTCTCACACAAGGCATTTGATCTGGTCCTCTTGTAAATGCTGCCGTGAGAACACCAACCAACTCTAGGCAATTATACAACTTTGGATGAACATGAGTCCCTGATTCAGACCAAAGGAGACCACTCTAGGGCTGACAGCAGCCTGAGATGTGATGCCCCGGTAGCCACTTGTAGTTTGGCATGTAAGTGTAAAAAAGGAACCCACATTTAGAGTTCTCAGCCTCAACCTCAGCCGATCCAAAAAATCCAGCAGGTCAGACCAGGTTTGGGCTGTGTGTGGAAGAAAAATCGTAGTCAGTATTCATTTAAAATGTAAATTCAACATGTATTATACATGTCATATATACTGATAGATAGATGGATGGATTGATTGATTGATGTCCTCTTCCTTTGCTGTTGCTGTGGCCTGGTGGCTTTTGACCATGACTGGCCTAGTGAGACAGAGGGGGTGGGGTTAGGGAGCTGTCAGTGTCGCCCTGCAGGCAGGGAGAGAAGGAGAGGGAGCTGACAGGCTCCGTGCTGGGCTGTCTGTCCTTCCTCCAGGCTTGAGCAGGGAGCTTCTCTGGTGGGAGATACAGTGTGGAGAGTGAGAGAACTCTGCCCTCATTATGATCCAGTCTGTTTATTTCTAGACATTTTGAGAGGATAAGGCAAATGGACATTTAAGAAAACATAAAGCAGACTGTGAGAGTTGGAGAGTTGCCGCCCAGACTTCTTTAAGTACCTCACAAAAGACAATGTCCTGCACACATTTCATGACGAGATGGCGAGAGATGGTAAATAAGAATAAGACTAGCATGTGTTTAAGGTGATCAACTCAACATGAAAGATCAAACATGCTCCAGACACCACCTGTGCTACGTGTCTGCTGTGCATTATATTCACATATAAGATACTCTGAGTAAAACACAATGAAATGGCACGACAGAAGCAGACCATTGTTTTATCTGAGGTCACCTCAGACGTCAGCGCGTAGTGACTGTAGTGTAGGAAGATTAATAACAAAGTGCATCATTATAACAGAGAGGAGTCAGACTGGGAGAAATGAGCAGCTGCTATAGTTGCAGTGGGTCTAAATGAGATAAAGTCGGAGCTATTTTCGGCTCAGGTGTGCATCTATACTGCATATATACGTTTCATGTGGATCAGCTCTTTCAAACTGGGTCACTACCTGCTTAGTAGCGTGCAGGTGTGTAGGTTGGTGCGGAGGGTATAGTAAGAAGTTGTGACGATATATTTCAGGAATGTCTTTGCTCACCCTTACCTCCCACTGTCCAACGTAAGCTGTCTATTAAAACAGCATTCTACACAAAATTATTAATAGAAGTAAAAATGTCAGCAGGAAATTAGATATTTAAATAGTGCCGTTGTGACATCTTTAAAATATGTGGGCGTGTATCTTCTTACCACTAAAAGGAAAGCAAAGATCATTACATCAGTGCATAAACTGAAGCCTCACAGTTCAGATAACAGCCTGTTATTTAAGTTGCCTTCATGTCTGCCTGCAAGCCAGCACCTCACGAGAGCAGGAGCATGTTTTTTTTTAAATTTATGACAGCTTTTATAGTATCTTATAGTTTCAGCTCATTGCTTATCTGTCCCACAACTTAACTGCTCTGGTTCACTGTCACTGCTCACAGGGTTGTTTTCAGAGAAAAAGTTGGGTGTGGAAATAAGAAACTGTTCGCTAACAAATCTGCTGCACGAACATGTCGAACTTGTTGAGCTGAAAACAAGACGCTAAAAAAGAAAAGTTGTTGCAGGTTTAAGTCCGAACTAAAGCTTTACATTTCCACCCTCTCAGTACCAATTACAGACCAGACAACGAGTTCTCATCCCAACTTGTCAAAAATCGCTGTTCTGTCTGTAGACTTTCACGTCAGAATATGACGCTCTACGTATCCTCCTGTGTCTGTTGTTAACGTTCCGGGATGCCATGTCAAATTCCACCTCTTGCATGCATTGTGTCTTTTCAAAACACACTTCCACTCTACTTTTCAGCTCCTTATATTACATTGTTACCTGTGATGTTACAAACTGCTGCTGGCCGATGTGTTTCATAACCCTGGGAAAGGTGTCTTTGTGCATCTGTATCTTACGTGGATGTCCACTGACATAGCACGGGTATCTGACGACTTTGGTTGGTGGCTGCTGCGTCAACAACTGACGCCATCTAGTGCATGTTCTACCGCTGCAAACGGTGCCTTTGTGCGTCTGCATCTAACGCTCAGATCACTGACAAAGCAGCAGTATTTAAAGCGTTCGGAATAAGAACAGGCTGGACCACATTTATGATCCGAGTCACACACTTTTTCTCTTTACTTCGAGTATGTACTGCAGCTGCCCTTACAAATTGGGACATACTGCTTCATCATGACATTGCGCCTTGAACTTTGACCCTCTTGCTCATATCCATCGCAGTCCGCAGCTCAGACTTGTGAATGCAGCCAATCTTATCACTCAAGGTTCCAATACAACAGAACACCTCACCACACTCTCCAGATACAGAGGTCAACCCTGAGAGCTCTACTGTTGTTAACCTGCAGTTTTAAGCTTTAACTGCTCATGTCGTTGATTGTTAAATTGATTGGTTGATTTCTGAAAACCACGGATATGTTACATTTGCACATTATTAATGAGCAGATAGGTTGAAACAACACTGTGGTCAAGGTGTGGTTACGTTTAGGCACAAAACCACTTGGTTATGGTGAGGTAAAGATCATGTTTTGGCTTAAATGACCCAGTTTGGGGGCACAGTCCCAGCTGGAAACGCAGTGATGTCTTTTTGAAGCCTGAGGTTTGTCATTTCAACTGTCGCCATATTGTTTTTTTGGAGCCAAAACTTTGAGCCTTAAAGAATGTAAACGTGAGTTACATAAAAGTTCACGTCTTGTTCAGTTCTCATAAAGAGGGAATTTAGCCAGAGACCAAAACCATTTTCTGTACCAGGCTGTAAACATATTTATTACCTCCGCCAAGGAGGTTATGTTTTCGCCGGCGTTGGTCTGTTTGTCTGTTTGTTTGTTTGTTTGTTTGTTTGTCTGCAAAATAACTCAAAAATTTCTGAACGGATTTTGATGAAATTTTCAGGAAAGGTGGATAATGGGACAAGGAACAGATGATATGAATGATACAGATGAATTTTGGTGGTGATCGGATGAAGCAAAGTGGATAAAATAATAAATAAAGTCTATGGTCTGACAGCCTCAGCAGCAATTAAGACGGTGAAAATAGCGC